CGAATTTCTTTTAGATCTGAGTTCTCACATCTATTCCACTCAAATCCAAGAAAGTTTCTGGAGCTTAGCTCTCGAATCTCACTCTTGTTTCTCTGTTCTCTCTTTCATACTAGTAAATCTATCTTGTGATGTTGGAAGAATTCTGGTCCTTAAGTAGTATCTCTAGTCAAGACGTGGAACTTCTCTCTAAAGCTCACAAAAAACTTAGTCTCAGATACCCATTTCTAGCTAAAGGGAGTTATTCTCAAACCCTAGATTTTATTTCTATGTATATTGATCTTGAAAGAACCGAAATATCTTGTTATAAATAATCTATAAAAAATTTTGTGAAACAATATGGTGAAAATGGATTTTAGGTATAAAAAGAGTTTTGATTTATTTGAAATCACTTAAAACTGAGTTCATAGTAAAAGTCACAGTGAAGAATGAGTTTAAGAAGTTTTATAGACAAGTTACTTTATATATATATATATATATATATATATATATATATATGTATGTATGTATGTATGTTTGTGTGTGTAATTGACATTGTAAGTTATTAAATCTTTGAATAATATATGTGTTTAATAATGAAAAAGTAAAAAATGTTGAACTTTAGGCGTGCTGAAATGAAAAACTTGATTTTTATGAGATTGATGAAAATTGTTTAGCTATTTGAATGAAGAAATGTACTTCATTATAAATAGGTGAACTAGACTAAGTTTGGATGTATGAAGTATTAGATATGTTTTACTTAATAAAATGATAAGAAAGAAATGAAGGAAAATATAACAGTGAATAAATGATATATGAGATTGGTGTGAATATATGAAAGTTTCTGGTGAATGAAATTGGTAGAAATATATGAAAGTGTGGAGAAAATATGAGCAAAATAAAAAGATGACTAATGCATATGTCATAAAAACACCGATTGATACGATTATAATATGCGTGTTGTAATACATCGACAAGTGAGATTATAACATATATATTGTAATACATTGATTAGTGTGATTGTAACACATGTATTAGGACAATATTAATTGATGTAAATAGTAAGATTTTGATATGCCATGACCGTATGGATAGTTCAAAGATACAGATTTTGATGTGCCACGGTTGTGTAATTACGAACGAGATTTATATATAAGAAGTTTTAAATTTTACTCATTTTCATTAATCATTTCTAAATTATCTATTTTTTATTTATTTTAATCACATCGTATTGATATTTGTATATTTAAAATAAGAAATTATTTAAATAAAGTAAGGATGTTAAGGTTGGTACCAAAGTTTATTAAAAAAAAACTTTGAAAAAACTTTTAAAATATTATGATCTTAAAACCAGAAATGAGTTCAGAGAAGGTATTAACATCCTATGACGTTTGAATAAGGTATTAGCATTTTATAATGTTTGTTTTAATAATAATTACCTTATATTGATTGTGTAAATTTCTTTTATTTTTGTAAATATTTATTTAACTCCTAAACATTAATTTTTACTTTTTTTAAGAAATAATATTTATTTATTGAAATATTAATTCGTATCTTAGAAAAAAGAAAAATTATTTTGACTTGATGAGTCTAATTCTCGCTCCTACATATCCTAGATGCAATGGAGAATTCAAAGTCTATCTAAAAAATATTAAAGAGATAGTTATATTTGCATTGTTTAGTAAAGATAATTATTCAATGAAATAAATAACATAACTTAATAATTTTTGCTGCATGGGACCTAAAACAATGTGCTAAAGGTCTGGACACTTTTGGACTCAAACCAGACATACAATTTAACACACACTCTCTTAGTCTTAATAAAATCATTTATTCTAAAGTTTAACATCTTCTAACACATATTATTCATAATAATTAGTTCAATATTAATTGTAAACACATAATAATAACAAAATCATAAAAACTCTTTACAAAACTGTTTTAATCATAACTTTTACAATAAAATTTTATCTAGATAATTTTTTAAATAAGTTATCAGTCTTTCGTGCCCAAAAATTCTATTCTTAGTATTAAAAACTCAGGAAATATTAAGGTTTTATGAATAAAAAGTAGAAATCTTGTGATTTGTAAAACAAAATGCATAAGTAAGAGTTAGGATTTGAGATTAACTCCCTTTACCTGAAAATAAGTCTCTAAGACTATGTTTTTCATGAGGTCCAAAGAGAGATACAATAATCTTGATGGAAGATTTTGTCCTAAAGACCAAGATCTTCCTAATATTAAAAAATAGAAAACTTTAAAGGAGAAAACAAAGAAATATGAGAGAAGTTGAAAAACTCAACTCTAAGAGACTTACTTAAAATCAGTTAAAACACGCGTTCAAGCTTGGATCTAGAAGAATTTCAGGGTTCGAGAGATTTTTTTTCTCTAGGAAGGGAAGGCGAGAGAACATAGAGAAAAGAGAGGGAAGGTGGTTTGATTATAAATGAAAGTTTTTAGGACATAAATTTTGTAAATACTTCTTAAACTTGTGACTTTTTCGCACGAAAAACCCAACAATAGTTATTTCCTGTTATCTGTCATTCTGTCTATAGCGAGAATTTCTCTTGCTAAACAAGAATTCTGCCTACAGTGATAGGGCTATTAGGTCATCTTTATCCACTTCTATCTACGGCGAGACTCGTTGTTTCTAAAGGGCTTGGTCCAAAATGTTTTGTCTCGCTACAATGAGACATGAAATCTTGTATTAAAATTTTTATTTTCTAAAATCTTATGCAATAAAAAGAGGGTATTACATTTCATTACTATTAGTATTTATTAAAATAAATAATAAAATAAAATAAACTCAAAGAAAATACTAACACATCTATTTACTTCTAATTATTATAATTTTTTATTATTAAAATAAAAACATATTCAAACAAGTTTAATATATATATATATAAGATAAGATTTAAACGAAGTTAAGTGATAGATAGAAAAATGGGAGAAGTTAAAGTGATTTGGATCTTTGTAAATTGTGATAGGAAAAGCTAAAGTTTAATAGAATGAATATACATATACAACAAGAGAGGTCACGTGAAGTTTAATACGGCTAACATCAAATCAATGTAAATTAATCAAAGTGTTACTATTCATTATCTAGCTTTATATGAAAATACTCGATCAATTTATAACTCTGGATGAAAGTTTCAATTTTTTTACAAATCAAACATATTTAAAGCAACTAAGAAAAATAGAGGAAAATATTCTAATGGAAAAGCTTATACAGCAACAATCTTATACAACTTAGTGAGTCAATGGAAATAAGATGGGAGCACGACAATAAATCTGTGTGCTTTAATATTTTTTAATCATTTTCTTCTTTCTTTGTTATATGTTGTCTTGTTAATATCTTTTCTAAATTTTTTTTTTTCCTCTTACTCTCTTCCCTCTGTGCTTCTTCTTTTTTCTTTTTTATTTTTATCTCATATCTTTTTTTCTTAAAATTTTTTGTGGCCTCTTTTTTCTAGTTTTTTTATTTATTTTTCTGTTTATATTAGTTACATTTTCATATTTAAAACTTTATGAGGGACTAAATTTTTAAGTTTTTTTTCCTTATTATTATGTATGAAGCAAACGTTGATTTATGAGTTTGTTTGTCAGTGTTAATTTTTTATTTATTAAAATTAAATTTAAATTTTTTTATTTGTTTAGATTAATTCTTATTTTTTTAAGAGTAAAATTATTTTATTTTTATTTTTGGTAAAATAAAATAAAAAATACAAATTAGAAAAAAAAATTGTTTTTTTGAAAGGACAAAAATTTTATTCACAAACATATTAAATATAATATAAGTTGGTGTATTTGTAATTTTGTTCAGTTTAATTTAAAGTGTAATAAAAAAATAAAAAATAATGAAATTACATAAAAAAGGTAATTTATAATATCTATTTAGTATATTAAAATTATTTATATCAATTTATTTAATACTATTACTTAACTAACTTTGAGTTTGTGAAAAAATATATCACGCACATTAATCAAGTTTTAATGTTTTATTTTTTAATGAATTTTTAAATTTAAATAATGTCATTATATATTTAAATCTATAAATTTATTTTAAAATAGAAATTAAGAGGCTAAAAAATTTAATATAAATATTTATATTATATTAAATAAATATTTATACGAGGAGTAAATAGTAAATAGTTATTTCATAAGTATACACATATATTTATTAATTAAATAAACTATAAAAGTTGTTAAATTTTTTATACTTTTAATAAACGAGTTATTTAATATTTTTTATATCGTTCGAACTAATTAGACTTTTTCAAAATCTTTTTTAATTTCTTGTTCAAATGATTCAAATCTGTTGCTTGCAGCTACCAACCGAAGCCGAAAAGGATAAACGAAAATTATGTAGTCTATGCTCTTTGAACTCCAATGGATCCAACCATACAAATATTTCAATAATAATAAGTGCTGGAAATGTTACACTAAAATAATAATAAAAACAATAACAATAACAAATAAACAGGTGTATGCATATTTAACTTATAATGTATATTTAACTTTTTTTAATTGAAAATTAAAAAATATAATTTTCCAACGCAGGAAACAAATGGCTTACAATATCAATAAGAGCGCATATAAGCTATCACACTAATCAATTCTCTTTTTACAAATTTTTATACATATAAAATTAAAATTTGTTAATATATTCTCACTTTGTATTAGACTAAGATATTTTTATAGTTATTTCGTCAATTCCTCAATCAAATAATAATATATAGATGATTATTTGAAACTTTGAAACACATCTTTAAATTTATTTAATTTTTTAATCTTTTCATATCATCATTTGATTAGAATATTTAATGATAAACATATAAAAAACTAATCTAAATTTTGTTCTTTAAAAGAAAACGAAAAGTTATTTTTTTTTTTATAAATTAGAGAAAGATAAAATGAGAAACAAAATAGATAATATGACTTTATAGAAATCTATTAAAAGGGTGAACAACACTAACTATCTTGCATAAAAGCAAAATATCTTGCATCATTGTCAGTGTATAGCAAGACCATAAATGAGCTGTGTGATCAAACTCTACCACATGACAAGGTGATGTCTTATCCCTTTCCCTTACCTTCTTCCACTCAAACTCATTCCATGAACATGGCAACTGCTGCGTCTGCATGCCTTCCTTCATACACTTGTTCTATTATCAGAACAAACTTAACACCACTTGGATTATTTTACCCGTCAAACCTCCTCAACAAGTCTTGTTCTAAATCTAATGGCTTCAGTTCCGCCCTCACATGCAAGGCATCATCATCATCATCATCATCTACGCCAGATTTTGATTTGTATGACCTTCTTGGCATTGATAGCTCCTCTGATCAGTCACAGGTGAAGATGGCATATCGCTCTCTTCAGAAACGATGCCATCCTGACATTGCTGGCCCTGCTGGTCATGACATGGCCATCATTCTCAATGAAGCTTATGCCATTCTTTCTGACCCAAATGCACGCCTTGCCTATGATAAGGTTTCTTTCTTTGTTTTTTCTCCAAAGGATTGCTTTTGCATCTATAAAATTCAATGCTTTCTCATTGTGGACATTCAATAGATCCAACCCATTACTCATTTCATGTTTTAGGACCCGTTTGGATTAGCTTCTAATGGAGTTCTTTATTGAAAAATTTAAGAATTTTACGACACAAGAATGCTAAATTTTGTTAAGTTTATAGGTGCTTATAAAGAAGTTAGGTGAGTGGTCTTTTGAAAAAATTAAGGTGCATAAGTTGATTTTAGCATATGTAAGAAGTTTAATTCATTTTATTTTTTTTTCTCTTGTAAGTGTTTGTTCAGAAGTTTATCACTTTATCTATCAGGGACATAGTCCAGTTTCTAGTTGTTTGTTACAAAGAAGTATTTGGGTCATAAGATTAATATTATGCTTAATAGGACAGAAAAATAGAAAATTACGAAAATTTGCATTTGATCCGGGAATGCGTCATTGTCATTATTGAATGGTAGTGAATGTATGGTTTTGCGTAGTATTTCAAGTGAAATTAATTGTCAATTTATTTTGGTTGGTTGCTTAATTCGACAAAAAATGTGTCACAGGAGCAAGCAAAGAGTTCAGAATTCAAAGGCTTCACCGGCAGACCCATATACTCGGTTTGGTGTGGATCAGAAAGTGAGCAGAGGGCAATATTTGTTGATGAAATCAAATGCGTTGGTTGCTTAAAATGTGCTTTGTTAGCTGGAAAGACTTTTGCAATCGAGTCAGTGTATGGAAGAGCAAGGGTTGTTGCTCAGTGGGCGGATTCCAAACAGAAAATTGAAGAGGCAATAGAATCTTGTCCTGTCAATTGCATTTCGTAAGTGTGTATATACTTCTGCACCTGGCTTCATATTTTGGGAATACTGAAATTCAGAGGATCTAGACGGGCATCATGACTATTACTTTGTTACTTAATTAATACCTTATTTGTTGTGATTTCTAGATATTGTATAACATTCTTTGTTACTTAGCATAGAACTGTATTTTCTGGTAAATTGTTCCATACCTTCAGGCTATACTATCTAAATTAAATTTTTCTTCATTTAATATCTCAAAACTTTCCAAAGAGGACCACATTACCAGACCATTCCTTAAAATTCTAATCTAGCAATGGAAGGCCCCATTACAGTTCTCTCCTGCAATTTTGATACTTCTAATTATAAAAGCCACCAATATGTTTCTAGTAGTAGTATCTTTATTTTTTGTGTTGCAAAGACCTTGAGAGTATTGAGAGATAACCCTTCTTCCCAAAATGGGAGATTTGAAGAGGGATTATCTAATTAGCTGATAATTTCTTCTAGAGTTTGGGCTCACGTTACAGATGTTTTAAGTATTGGCAATTTGTCATCTGAATATATCATCTTTGCTAGGATGTAGTTATTCAATTTTCCTTCAGATAAGCATAAGGGATAAGAAAATATTTTATGAATGGAAATATAGCAGTATGATGATAGTTGATCCGGCATTTCACATGCTAGCTCTTAGTCATCCATTCATCAACTATAATTCTTATTTTGGTTCCATACAAGGTTGCAAGATAATTCCTTATTTTGTTTCAAGAAGGATATTTGTCAGATTGATAAACATTTTCCTGCTGGATTTTTCATCTTTATAGTTTTCCAACTGTTTACTATGCTTCTATAAACAGGTATGTTCTTGATTGTACACATCTTGAAATGTTTTATTTATAGTGTAACTATCTGGAGACTTGTAACGATAGTTTAGGAGTTTTGACAGCAGGCTATGGAGCTTACTGCTTAATAGTACAGGATCCCTTGATCTAGTTAACTGCTTGCCAAACATGTGGTGGGCTGAAATTCTTGTAGATTTAAGTATGATGTAGTAAATGTCGATTGTTTGGTATTCTATTGTTGATTAGCTTGTGTGTACAGATTAGAGAAGATGTTGACCATTTTAGGAGTGCTCCAAGTAGAAAGGTTGCAATGATTCTCTCGGCACTGCAATCTTAGAAATAATGATGTTACATTGGTTGGAAGAGAGTGCTTGAAAATTTATAGACAAACTTATTGTGTTACTTGAGAATAAGATGTTTTTTTGGATTCGTACTGGTGTTCCTCTATTGGCTCATTTTTTGTTTGTTCTCTTTGGTCTTCATCCTGATTTCATGGAAATTCTTCTTTCTTTCTTTTCCCTGTGGAATAATCAACCATGTTGCAGTCAGTCTCTCTCTCCTGTCAGTGAAATTTCTTGTTTCAATGCAAGAAAAAAAGTTACAAATTACAAAATCTATTCTATAGTTGAATTGTTTTTATAAAGAGAGATTTCTTTCACCTTTCTCCCATTTGGAATTCCATAGGATCACTGATATTAAGGAAGGGAAACGTTGAGCAATTAGCAAGCAGCAATTGTTGGATAATTTGTTATTGAAATAGAGAATTGCATTCATAGTACTCAGAAGTGTGAAGGATACCTAACAAGACTGAGAATAGCATTCCTTGTGCTCAGAAAAGTACATTATCAGTATAGGATTTGTCAATTTCTATAGGCATTAAAAAATTTCCATTAATCTTTGAAGAATTGTGACTTCAGGACTAACGGGAAAAATATTTTGATCAGCATTTCTTAAATCACAGTTCTCCCTTTTTCTTTTTGCTTCTTGGGGATGATCATTTTTCTACTTTTGAACAAAATAGGGTTGTTGAGAGGTCCAACCTTGCAGCTTTGGAGTTCTTGATGTCCAAGCAGCCACGTGGCAACGTAAGGGTAGGTGCAGGTAATACAGCTGGTGCTCGTGTCTCAAACATATTTGTAGATGTGGAGAAGTTTCAGACAAGATTCCAGGAAACAATGGAAAAGGCTTCTAGGTGTTCTAAGGTTAGTTTGACATGTAATGTGTAGATCTTCATAGAAAGCAAGAATGGCCATAAGAAATTGTCTTCATTATGCTAAGGTCCAGTTTGGGTAAATTTCTAAAAAAGTTCTTATAGGAGAAAAAAATCAGTACAAAAAATGAATAAAACTTCACTTATAAGTTAGAAATAACCATCTCCTCAAATTTAGGAGAAGTTAAATGAGAGAGCTTTTGAAAAAATAGAGAAGCATAAGTTGTTTCTGACTTATGAGTTTTATTCATTTTTTATATTAATTGCTTTTCTTATAAGGACTTCTCTGGAAGTTTATCCAAACTGGGCCTAAGTCTTCAATGCTTGAATCCCTCATTCTCTACTTTATTGATTAACTAGAGAACATCTATTTCAGGAAACAGACCTCCAAAGAGAATCACGAATGTCAGCAATTCAGGCAATAAGATCAATTTCTAATTGGTTATATTGGCAATCACCTAGTGCCAGCGGTAGCTCATCAAAATCTGAAAAAAGCATGACAAGAGTTGTATATAAATTGCCTGAGCCTGATATTGGCAAGCTCAGAGATGCTGCTGCAAGGAAGAAAGTAAGAGAAAGGACAGGGACCAACCATCAAACCCAATTAAATACCATTCATCCTGAGGAGTATTGGACTCCATCAACTTATGTTCTTCCATCTTCAACTAGAAGTAATGCTACTCAAACACCAGCTGAGAAGCCTTCAGTTACTACAGGACAGAAAAAAACAGATGAAAGAGATATTGACACATATGAAAATGAAAATAGCCCTATAAGGTGGGGATTACCAATGCTTACAGCATTGACTGCAGTGGCTACAGTTCGATTACATGCGGTCGAGTTAACACCTGAGTTGAAACAACATGTGGGTGGTTCTCTAGCTTTGGAAATTGTTAACAGCTCTTGGTTGCAGTGTGTGCTGGCAGCAGCTACATGGTATATGATTGGACTGGCAATTGTAGACCTTGTGGCCATCTTTGGAAATAAAAATAGATAGAAGTACATCATACATGCTGAAAAGTTTAATAGCAAAGATAGGATAGATACATGTAATAAGCCGTATTTGAAGAAACACATGAATCACCGCAATTGATGTACAACAATTTCTCCATTATGAATGCCATACTTGATTACTTCTTTGACTCAGCTTCTTCTGGAACTCGAAAGTGAAATATTGACCCAAACTTGTTGGGATTTAAAATCTACCACTTTCTTGCAGCTTTTCCCCATATGGTCCAAGGACATTGAAAACTCTACTTGATGTCTGTCTCACAGGTAATGTTCTATTGATGTCGGTATTTCGATAAATGTGTAACTCCCTATTTAATTTGGGATATAACTTAATGTTTGACGTGCCTTTCACTCTATTAAGCACGAGAATAAGGAGGCTAGATTACATTCCTTTCCATTAGATTGCACTCAGAAAATAGATTGCAATGAGTTACACCTGATTTTGTAATGCGTGCTCTACAAAAGAAATTGAATTGACTTGAGGTAGGTCAGTACTCAGTAGCGTAATAAAAATTGTGTTCGGAGTAAGAATTAGGAAATAACTATTTATGTTGGTGCCTCTTTATTTTTAGAATCAATCGATTGCATTTTTCATGCTTGTATGAAGCTTACAAGGATGCTTATTAACCAACAAGGCCTTGGATGATTCAATAATTTTTTCTATATAATTATGATTATTTATCATCTTCGTTGGTTAATATTTTTCAGTAACAATAATATATCTGTTCACCCTTTTGTTTTTCTCTTATGAATACACTTTCACATTGAAGAACTAAATTCCTTAGTTTCAAGGGATGAACGAAGATGCAGTAAATAACGATATGAAGAACCTCATCTTTTGGGTCACGAGTTATTACATACGATCCATCACACAGGATAGGAGTGACTCACTGTTCGAATAACATAAACTAACGATAGAAGGCAGAAGCTGAAATAGTTTTGGCAAATGATTTTACAGATGAAAGGAAACTAGTAACGGTATTTGGTGGAGTAATCTTTGGGAGCAATGACGAGACCGCGACCCTTTCTGGCACCTCTATACACAGTTTCAACGATGTCGATAAACTCTTGTTTGTCCTTAAGCGCCCAATTGATCTTGTTGTTGTTGCCAGTGCCAAGATCAATCATGATGTGTTTGTTCCTGAAGAAGAACATCACCGTCGAAGGATCGTACAGTTCGTACATCGTGTTGAAATCTGGCACCTCCGTGATGTCCACAAGGTATATCACCGCGAAGTTCTTTATCGTTTCTGCAACCGACGCCAAAACCTCGTCCATCTAATACAATCATGATAATAACTCTATGTAAACGCAAATTAACGCAACCAAATCGATTATTGTTATCATTATGATGATGATGATACTGAAATGGATGAAGAAAGTACCTGCATGCAGGTTTCGTCCCAATCATGGCCGAAACGGATAACGACGAGTCGCTCCTCTTCGGCGAGGATGGCTTGATCAACGGCCCAGCCTGAATGCAAGTGAGGCAACAGGTACGACATCTTCTTCCTCAACGCTTTCGTTTCTGCAAACCCTAATTTCCCTTTCCTTCTTCGATTCTTTTCCCACCACTCAATTTTTAATTCCTTTGATTTGGGAAGGACTTTTCGGGTTGGGCTTCACAATGGAACCCAATTACCCGTTACCTGGCCCAATTGTCTCCGCTGGCCCGCCCCAATTGTTTTTAATTCATTTTATTTACCTTCCTCGTTTTTTCTGTTTTCTCCTTGAGAATTGATGTTTAGTGCGAGGGTTTTCAACGAAAATAATACAAAAACTGTACAACGAATTACATTTACACGTGATTTGCGTAAAGCTTACAACAGTGTGTTTTTTGGATGAGATATTGAGTAATTATTTTTTTAAAAATTTATAATTTTAAGAGTTAAAATATGTTATTTAGAAATTAAATTTTAAAGAATTTAAAATTTTAGGAATTTTAGTAGATATTTTTTAACAGACTAAAATTGAAAAAAATTAAATATTAAAATGAGAATTTGATTTTTTTTATTTATTAATTTTTTATTCATATTTTTATTTAATTATAAATAATTTAATAATTTAAATGTTATATTTTTTTATTAATTTAATTAAATATAGTGATAATCTTATTATTTTGAATAATGTAAATAATTTAATTATTTATCTAAAAAATATTTGAAACGAAGAAAATTTAATTATTTTATTTAAACAAAATATTTTAAAATAATAAAAATTTAAATTATGTAATTTAAAATTTTAAAATTTAAAATCTCTAAATTTTTTAATTACGTCATCCAAACACAACTTAATTAATTTTTTTAACGTAATTATTTAACCCGTTAAACATGAACATGTGTTTGTTAATTTTTCGTTTTACTTTTTTCTTGTGCTGTATATAATACGACTCTTTGCAAATGGCTTTGGCCTTTGGGTAATATGTCACACGAACCTTGTTTTACCATCTTTGTTATTTAAAACATCCAACCATATACTTTTTTTATTTTTTAACAAAAAACAAGTCTCTCATGTATCATACGGTTGTCGTTTGTTAAAATTTAAGTTTTTCTATAAAATTCTTAAAATGATTAAGATGGGATTTGGGGATTTAATATTTTGACATAGAAGAATTTTATAAAACGAACTTATCAGAGAAGACCATATTTTGGAATTCTAAAATATTAATAATTCATATGCTTTTTAAAAATGTTAAATACCATCAATTATTATATAATATTATTACTTTACTGTCAAATTGAGAAATCACAATATCACATGATAGCGAGAGAAATAGAAATTAAACATTTATTTGTTATTTATTTATTTTTATAAAATGGGACACAAGAAATCATATTAATTGAATAAATATCAAATTTAATCCTTTGAATTGTAAACATTTATCACTTTAATTTTTCACATTATAAAAATATCATTTTAGTTTTTAATATTTAAAAAAAAACTCATTTTAGTTTTTTTTACATAATTTCTTATTGTCATTTCATATAAAAAATATCTAAAATAAATGTCATTTTATAAAATCAAGGATTAAAGTAAACTTTTTGTAAATTTAAGAATTAAAGTAATCAGCTCTTACGATTTGAGAGACTAAAATACATGTTTACTCTACATTAATTTGATCTCACAAAAAATATTTAATTTTTTTTTAATAAATGCACACATACAATGTTGTAAACGTTAAACGAAGCTTGGGTACAAATTTTTAATTTATTATAATTTATATGTTTTATGTAAATCATCATTTAAATTTAGTTTTAGAATCATATATTTTTAACATATTGTAACGTTTAGTTCAAAATTGAATATGCTTCTCTAAACTAAGTTAGACAGTAATATTAATAATAATAATAATAATAATAATAATAATATTACAAAAGAATTAATTTTTGTATAGTTACTTTAAAAGTCATATATACGATAAATTTTAATTGATAAATAGTGTAAATTAATACTCAAAACAAAGTTCTCAGAATTTTATATCTTGGGCTATTTATAATTTTAAATCAGCTTCGCCTACAAAGTTTGATAACAAACAAAGATATAAAATTTTATATCTCGGCTTTGCATGAATAAGGTCGGGTATGAAACTTTTGTCCTTTCTAAAAGTGGGGAAGTTTCTAGGTAGAATCTGAGGGCAATGGTGGATGGTAGCATCCAGATCATATGTCGTGCATTTACAAAACAAAGACATAGCACAGTTGTCAGCACCCCATGCTTGAGCACACCAAAATCTCTTATAATCAAACATCTTAGTATTTTCACATTCCTTATATAATATGTTTCAAAATTCATGTTTGAACAACATTTTGTCAGCACTTAACTAAATATACATCACAGGTTGTAATGCACGAGTGCATCCCCTCTCGTGCATGTATGATCATATTGCTTAATATTCAACAACAGTATCCTAAAACCACCAACATATCCTCACAAAGGGAAAGTTCCTTTGGACAAATTGGTGCCTTAGCTGTTATCACTGTCCCAATTCCGTACCACGAGAAGGATACTTCATATTTGCTTCCTCATCTGAATCTGAGATCTGATTAGAATAATTTTTTTAAGTTTTAGTACTATATATAAAAACCGATTGAAGCACCTCTTCCAATACCAAAATACTAGCTTTCTAGCCTTGATTTTCTCATAAAGTGCAACCCTTTATTTCTTCCACTTCAAGTTATGGCACCCCTTGATTTTGATGCTCTCAAAGAGTTGCACAATTCTGCAAATAACCTTCTTCATTCTCCAATGGTCCAACAAGTTATTATCCATCAAAGAGAAGAAAAATGGGTTAACGATGTGTCAGAGTCATCTCTTCGAATGTTGGAGGTATGTGGTATCTCCAAAGATGTTCTTTTGCTAGTGAAAGAACACCTTCAAGAACTTCAATTTACTTTGCGTAGAGCAAGCATTGGTGAGGCAGGAATTGAGGAAAAAATCACAGCCTACAATTGCTATAGGAAGAAGTTGAAGAAAGAAACATTGAAGTGTTTGAAGTGGTTGAAGGGTATGAAGTGTCAAACAGTCACTACGCACACTCCAATGAAGGAGCAAAAACTAGTGTTGGTTGTTGATGTTCTACGAGAAGTAAGGATGACCAGTATTTCCATTGTGGAATCACTGCTGTCTCTTATTTCCTCACCCTGGTTGGATTCAAAACCAGGGAAAAGGTCTTTCACATCAAAGCTTGTGCGTCTTAGTTTGCAAAATTCAGATGATGTCTATGATGCTATGGTGCTTCAAAGTGCAAACAAAAGGTTAGCAGGGGTTCAAATGGCAATAGAAAATCTTGAGGTTGAGTTGGAGTGCATGTTCAGACGTTTGATCCACACAAGAGTTCTGCTTCTTAACATACTAACCAACTAGAAAATTTGGTGGGAACCCCAACCATACCAATGGCTCAAATCAAACTAGCCAGCTCAAACCCTTTTTAGATACATTCTCTTAAATTAATTTACTTAGATATTTAACCATTCCTTTATTCTTTGATTCTGTCAAATAACTATTGTAAATCTGCAATATAATTGAACATTGTCTATTCCACCCTGAGAATTACAATCTTACAGATTTGTGGAATTTCAGGATATGTGGATAAGCTACCCTTTCTTTTGTAGTTTCACTAGTTTGGAATAAAAATATATGCAATCCAATTGCTTGTATGCTTTATGCCGTACAATGCAAGAAAGAAATTTCATAATTTCACGTGCATCTAGCTGTTTGCACAGGATTTTTCTGTCACTATATTATCTATGATTTGAGGAATTAAAAAAGAATAGTTGGCAATGTATGTGTTACTTTTGCTAAACGGTATGTTTTAGACTTTCTTTGGAATTGCGTATATACTAGTTATAGCTCAAAGTGATTGGAAACAGAATGTCTCGCAGACTTATCAATAATTTGTAGTCAAACATTACAAAAGGCAAATAAATACATTCATGAGAATTTAACATGTGACAGCATGTAACTAGGGAATTTTTATTGTGCAATATGCATGGGAATTTCAATGAGAAAAATTAAAATTTATCAAAAATTACGTAACCCTGTAGGGATCTACATAATCAATGTTGGATAAGAACGTGAATTAGCATCAGCTAGAGTTAGGCGTTTTCCACGTTCTTAAACAAATAATTTGTTCTGGTGAGAATGCGGTATTTATGTATGACTTCTTGCATACTACCCATGCTCCTTGTCACTAGTCCGATTTTAGATGGTTTAGAAAAAAGTAAATTAAATTGATACAACTTGATTTTGTTTCTTATATGAATTATTTTTACAATTTAATACCTTGTATTTATTTAATATGAGATATAAAATGTACTAAACTCACTTTTAAAAGCTATTCCAAAAGAAGAATTTTCAAAATTTTATAAGTATTTTATCATGTTTCTTGTCAATGTAAGAAAATATCTTGCATCACATTGTGTCCAATGATAGTGTTATATGTATAAATTTTACATTTCAATTATTTCTAATTGAAATGTAAAATAATATGAGTAGTCACGGTTACATGACCTTACCTCCTGTGAACTATTTAAATATTACTCCAATATGTTATATTTTAATAAGTTCATAATTATGTAATTGTGTAAAAACATCTAAGATTGAATTAAATAAGTAAAAGTTTAAAATAGAGTTTTGATGTATACTTCTCTAAAAGTTCTCAGTCACGTAGTTACCTCTTTATACATATCTTGTATAACTTGAATATGTTATATGGACCCTTTTCTTTTCTAAAGTTGTCTATAAAATTTCTCTTAATACTTAATCATATATTTTTTTCAAGTCAATAAAAATTATATGTAAGTCATTTTCTTTGTAACAATATTTTTTTATTATCTTTCGTAAAAGATATATTACTTATGTTGTAAACTTTTCTAATATACAACTAAATTGATTTTTTATAATCTTAGTTTTTTAATCACCTTATTCTTGTATATAAAAATCAAATTGCTCTTCCTTCATTTATTTAACATATTCTTAAATCTCAAAAAAAATTTTTTTTGTCAAGTCTCAAAATCTCTTTAAAAAACTCGTGAGTCACTCAAGTCCTTGTTTTTTCAAACTTCAATAGATATTATTAGCGTCAACCACTTTATCATTGTTCATCCTCTTAAAAACTTCTTTTATTTTTCTAATTTAAATCCTAGAGGAATATGTCAAATTTTAATTATTCACTTGCCCTTCTAATCTTGTCAAATTTTTCTTGAAGGCATGTTATATTAATTTTTCTACAAATCGTAATGTCCACCATTTTTAACAAATTTCCTATCAAAGTACCGATATTACATGAGCCAAATTGAAATATTTTTTCTAGGACTAATTTTTTTACTCACATTCATCCTATCAAATGTGACGACCTTTACTCATTTAAAGCAACATTTACACATCAATGCAACAACTTTAGCTCATTTAACATTGTACTCGAGTTATATAGCTTGTTACTTCCACGTCAATGACTTAATTTTAGTACAATATCATTGTGTGTATTCATATAAAAAAGTATTAACAAATTTTATGTTAGTTGCTAAAGGTCTAACACAACCCTCATCTTTTACTGAGTTTGGACGAACTATGGAACTATAATCAGAGTTATATAACTAGTAAAAACATTTAAGATTTATTGGAACAAAGATAACAAGAGCTAATGAAGATTGAGTTGTCTCATACTCTCAAAAAAGGACTACAAACGGAAAATACACTTTGTCTAATGCCATGAGATCAATTTTGTTTTATTTTTATCAAACATACTTAGATAAAAGAACAATAAACTGTTAGATTCAACAAAACTAGGAATTTAAAGCACCAAATTGGCAATTTGAAGACAGTGAACAAAGCAAGCAAACAAACCAATTTGATCTATTATTGGAGATTATATGAAATTAAAAGAACCAAATTATCTGAACCCATTTGTAATTGATTTATATATGTGTAAAAAATATAAATTGTGAGAAATGTATAGGGATTATTGACTATAATAAGAAAATGATATAGAAATAGAATTAAAAAAAACCTAATTGATTACAATAAATTTTCACCATGTAGTATGAATACGTTTCTGTCTATTCCTTACAAGTACAATAAAAAACCTAATTGATTACAATAACTTATTTAATAATTTATAATATTTTGGTACTAAATATCATTCATACAAGAATAAAGAATTTATTTGAAAAATAAATTTGAAAAGGTAGATAAGAAAAAGGGTCAAAGAAATAGGGTAGAACAAACGAACGAGTAAAGATAATTTTTATAGTCAAAAGACACTCTTTAAAAGCCGACAACTATTATAATCTACTGATATAGTTTTAACTAAAACGTGAATACTTGTTCAAACAATGTTTGTAGAGTCCTCATTTTATAAAATGAATATTATAATAGATAGATATATACTATTTCAAATACAAAGTAAAAGAATTATAAGATGGAAATCAATTTGAAGTCTTTCCCAGAGTCAACAAAACCGCAAGTGTACCAATTCTCCGAAGACAAAAAAATGGAAGAGTGCCGTAATTGCCGTTTGCCTCGTCAAGTCATTGCATGGGCATAAAATACAGAAGAATGAATAGACTTCGTAAGTTGTGAAAAGGCATAAAAATCATACCAAAAACATAAAAGAAGCTTTTGATTGATAGTTGAAGCATAAGGCCACATTGTCAGACTCTCGTGCAGCAAAATTACACACATTTGTTTTATTTATTAGAATTTTCCCTCTATTTTATGTTACCTAATTTTATTTAGATTTTGAATAAATGATGTCTTGGCCATAACCAAATCATATTCTCTTAGAACGAGATGTAATAATTCCTTTCGGTGCCAATCACCAATCTACAAGTTCTCCAAAGCGTATCCTGCTTTGTTTCTCAATTTATCACAGAAATGGACTGCCATTTTTTGTTTTCCACATTGCATCATGTTTTCATTGCATAGATAATAACACAAACAATCCAGACACCGCTATTGACCACTTTTTTAACTTCACATATCAGCCTTGCAATGCCGAGGTGTCTAAGTTACCGATATTAATGAATAACTTTAGGGGGACACCTAAGAGTGTCTTTCTCTTGAAAACTCATATTTCATCCTCTTCAAAGGGATCTCGTTCAGGGTAGTCACCAACCTAGAAAAGATTTGTAGAGATCAAATCAGATTTCTTATATTTGGACAAATGTTAATAAAATATAATGTCACTAATGATAAATAGAACCTTAATATTTTCTTATTTCCCTGTTTTTTTCACATGGGCTAGGGTATGATATTCCTCTTCCAAGAGGCAATTAAATACCTTTGCTAGATGCCTAGATTGCATAAGAAATCTCAACCATATATGGCTCAATTTGGATAAACTTTCAAGCAAACACTTAAGAAGATATGGAGATAAAATGAATCAAACTTCTCATAAGTTAAAATCAAATTGTGTACATCAACTTTTAGAGAAGTAGGATAAAAAAGCTTCTAAAAAAGCTTATATTCATAATTTTAACTTTTGGGAGAAATTTGATTTATTTTACCATCTTATTTTATTTCTTATAAATACTTATTGATAAGCTTTTCTAAACTAAGACATAATCATCTTTATACCGCAGCAATTATGAGGGTAATGGCAGCTTAGTTCACAGCATTAGAAGCAACCAACAAATTGATGGTAAAAATTTTAAAGATTGAGGGCAACTATCATTTCAGTAGAATAAAAAATCGACTGGTGTTCAAAATAAAACCATACAGTATCTATTACCTGATTGTCACACTAGCACATCAAACTGTCATTTTCAAAAACCAGTTCATGGGAAGGTTTTATCACCAAATGTAAGGATACTAACAGCACCCAAACCATTCTTTTTCACTTGTGTCGTTCATACAAATTGATCTAAAAGTTATGAAATGAAACCAAAACTAAGCGAGAACTGATTATCAAGCTCTCGAGTTAACTTTCAACCAAAGTTATAAGACACAAAAGTTAACTCCCACAAACCCTGTTTGTCAAACTTGTACAAGTAAACCTGGCAAAATCAGCAAACATGATTTTATTGATGAGTTTATGAATCGGAATTTACACACGATTTTGCCCTTAAAAGCACAATCTTGGTCAATTTAGTTGGGAATTGAAGCTGAGTTGCTTCTGTTATACAATATGCATATGGAGCTAATATTATGTTGTTCAGTCAAAACTATATAAGATTTTGAGCCAGTAGTAGATTTCAGCTCAATCAAGCATTAAATCTAAACTCAAGTATCAACATCCAATTCAATAACGATTATAATTACAAGGGTATAATATTATAGTTTTTCAAAAGCTTAGTTGGCAGTCAGTTTTTTTTTTTGTTTTCCTTTTATTTTCAGTTAATATGCTGTTGCTTGTTATTACAAAAATGCCAAATTATTTCTAATTTCCAGTATTGTGAAGGTAATGGCGAAAACAAGATTCTGTTGTTATCTTCATTTCTTTTGCAAATCCTTGAAACTGACAACAAAGTGAAAAACAGGTAGTATTTTTATAATAATCAGTGAAAACATACCAACCTAAAAAATAAAAAGAAAACTGCCTTGATTGATCAAAGATTTATCCAAGTAACCAATGTTTTGAAAGCAGTTCAGTAAATGAAATGTGCAAGGAAAGGATCAATGGTCAAACGACCAAACCACAGTGCAGCAATGAATAATTGTTGATGAAGAACAGGATGGGGAAGCTTGAGAGGGAGTGGAGACAATCACACAATCAATAATATCATCACCAATTTTTATTTCACACAGGTATTTATCCTAAACCTATCAAAGCAGAACATGTGATTATATTATCGGTGTATGACTATATGTCAAACTACACTATGCTTTTGGGAGAGCACTTTGCAGGTAAATCGAAGCATGACACAAGATTTGTACTGGGATAAGAATAGGGGCTTGGATTTTTATTTGGTATAAAGCACATGGCCTTTTCAATTAGGTTTCTATCACATATATTGAGCAATTGGTGACTGCCTAGATATTCCTTCCTTTGTTCTGGGTATTGTACTAGTGTTAATGGGGATTCATGATCCTCCCATCTTTTTTGTAATTTTTTCTTCTAGTTAATGTTTCTTTTCGTTAATCAGGGAAAAAGAGAAGCAGTAGGTGCAGTGAAAAATATTCCAATATTAGAGGACCACTACAGTGTAGTTCTGACAAACCTGCACTTTATCTGGCCTAACCATTCCACCATGAGATGGAAGGCATTCAAAGTAGCGGACTCCTTTGACCCTATAACAATAGCAAGGGAAATTCTAAGATATGCACAGGCTTCTTATGTTTGTAAATGGAAAATACATAATAATTAAGAGAAATTAAGATGAATAGTAGTTTTACTTACATGCCATCATGTTTGCCCAATGGTTCATCATATTGTACTCCAACCCAGAAACCTGGACCCAAAGACTCTGCCCGACCAACAAATTTTACAACACCCCTTTTCTCCCCAGGTTCAACTTCACATCTGGATCCTACCTTAACATTTTGGAAATCGGAGAATAGAGTAACAACATAGCAATTCAAAAAGATTCAATTTAAACAAACTAGATGATATGATAAACTTTGGATAATTTGAACAATAAAATACACAATATATCACTCTCAACAATACAAAACTGCAAAGATGCATGAATCACAATTAAGACATCCAAAGTAAAACACACATGATTTACAAGTCCAACATATAAGTACCACTCAAAGTTCAGCCCAAACAGAAGTAACAGGGACTACAGCCTACTGCTAGCAGTTTTGTAATAGTTATCATTAGTCACTACCGTTGTTATATGACTAGAAATTGATAATAGATACAAATTTTAACACTAACGAAACTTCAATTCATACAGGCTATTTGGTTAGATACGCTGATGTGCCCCAAGTGCTACATGGGCCTAAGGAGATGCTGATCCAGGAAGGAATTACAGGCCCAAAACCATGGTTGGTGTGTGCGCATAAAAGGAAGAAAGGCATGAAGAATGTGAAGGAGGGAGAATCTGAGGTGGCAAGTTAGTTAGAGGAGAGAGTGAGAGTTTTCTGTTATAGAGGGCGTGCGAATGATGTGCCGGGCACCTTTTTGCATTTTTGGCTTTTGCGGTTAGTATGGAGAGCCATTAAGTTTCTCCTTCAGAGTTTACTCTGGGACAGAAGGGAGAGACCCTTCCTCTGTATTTCATTTTCCAAAAATTATCAATATAATCAACTTTTTCTGTTGTTCATCCTTCTGTTTGTCTATATTTCCTTTTCTGGTTGTTTGGTTTGCAACATACGCATTCCTTACTTTGCCTAGCTAACAACCAATTGATTTCCCTATAGTCATGTAAATCCTCCTCCAACCCTTTCTTCTTTTCATAAGACATCTATCTCCCCCTCCCTAGTGCTATGGAAAGCTTTAAAAAATAAAAGGGTCCATGTAGCATATATTCAGGCTATACAAGACATGTATGAGGAGTTAACTACATATATGAGAACTTTTAAATTGTTATTGTTGTTGTTGTCGTCGTCGTCGTCTAATTGTAAAACCAACTTCAATTGAACACCAAATTAATCAAATTTCCGTTCCCTCCTTTCACCCTTCCATGTCAAAATGAAAAATCCAATATGGACAAGAAATAATACTATCCGAAGTATCCTAAGCTGGTTTCCTAAGCTGGTTTTCAGTTCATTTATATATTTACCATTTATTCTCTACTCCCCTTGTACAGAGCCAATATGCACACAGTTTGATAAGGTGAATTCCTGTTGTTAACCATGGGATTTTCTTGACCCATAATTGATGCAAATTTCTTGCATTAAAGCCTAAACTATACAAAAGTTAAAAAGGGAATAGTTATCTCTAATATGCAGATAGATTTGGAAACATTTTGACTTTTCTTGTTCTGTTTATTTTTTTTTAAGAAAATATTATTCATTCATGATATCTTATTCTCCAAGAAGTTGTATTTTTTTCACTTTCTCTCATTAAAATTTCTTTTACTACTATTAGAATAATAGGATTTGTATCATGTTAGTAGTCATGCTGGACTTGTACTAGTTGAACCATGCTAGTGGTTAAGTGGTTGACCTAATTACTGTAACATCCTAGTTTTTATTTCAATTTTTTTTTTAAGATAGAAAAGTTTCATTGTTGAAAACTGCAGCATTTCTCGCTTGAGTGAGAAATGTCTTACTCAAGCAATATTGAACCATTTGGAAGGGACGCCTCGGGAGCATTCAGGCAAGAATAGATAAAAATATCTCAACTGTCCTCTCGCTTAGGCTAGGAGTCCCTCGCTTAGGCGAGAAGAGGCAGCATATTAAGAATTCTCTAGAATATCAGGTCGCGCTTAGGCGAACCTGTCTTGCTCGAGCGAAAATGGTCTCGCTCAGGCATGAAAGAACCTCTCACTCAGGCAAGATTATCAACAAATGTATAGAAATTTCTATCCAATTGTCTTGCTCAGGCAAGAATGGCCTCACTCAAGCAAGAAGCCGCGAGTAAAAAAAAGATATTTAAGTAACTTGATGTTTTAAAACTTAGAGTACAAAGCAAGTAACCATTCTCATTTCACCCTTTGATCTCTCACTTCCCTTCCATAGCTAAAACACCTTGAGAACTCCAAACCTCTTTTGAATTCGAGTTTGGATATCTTTTTCACGTGATTTCAAGTAAGTTTCTTAGAGCTAATCTTCCAATCTCATTCCTATTTCATCATTTTTCTTCCTTCTCAAAAGTTACTCCATTTCGTAATACTTAGGAAGAACTTGATCCTTTGGACGATATCTTCTACAAAACTTTACGTGAATCATTTACTTGAGGTAAGGAGAATTTTTTCCCATTATTAAATGTTATGTATCATATTTGCCTATGTGTTAAAGGTTATATGTTTTTCTATATTAGAAATATGAGATGAAATTGATTTCTCTGAGTATTGAGGCTTAAGATTTGACTCAAGTTATTTGAATAAGAGTTTTTCAGAGAAATCGAGATTTTAGTTATTTGTTTAAGATAATAAATAGAATGATGTATGCTTGATTGTTCATTGAATGATTTGAAATATGATTTATTGGAATATGCGATTTGGACTAAGTCCAAAAGTGTTTGACCTTTGACATAATTTGATGTGTATGATGAAAATGGAGATCCCATTATGATGAAAAATGAAAAAGTGAAATTTGTACTATTATAAAAGGTGATAGAAATTAGTCTGGATAGTTACAAAGATATATTAGGAGTATGAAAGATGAAGCCGATTTTGAAAAAGCTAGGAAAAATACAGGATGGTGAATGTTATTCATTAGTTACACATAATTAATGAAAGCGAAAGCATCACAAACCTCACATTTATTTTTTGACTCATACTCCTGACTATACTTTTACTAAGAGACTAAGTTTGCATATATTGTATTCGTGTTACAATGGCTAACCGGCAATTATCCATATAGATAAAAGACCTCAAGAGATCCCAGGAGCAATAATTGATTAAGATAATGGTGTATACATATTGAATAATATGATCTTATTATATGTATTATAATATTGGCGATATGATTGTCATTGCACTTAGTTTGTCATGTTATTATTAAATTAATTGTTCAGTTCTATTTTAGTGGTGAGAGAAAACACATCCATACTTACATTTTTAGGAGATAAGAATAACCACCCCTTAGAGATCATTTAGGCTAACTGAGTGAAGTTTTGAGAGTAGGTTAAATGATGAATTTAAAGAATGGCAAATAATCTGCTATGCTACTGTAAATTTACTATAGCTAGTGAATGTGCACCCTAATAAGTCTTTTCAGTAGAGATCACAGTAGCGTATGATGTTCCCTTTAAGTATCCTATTAGTGGTAGGATTCATCACACCCTCAGTTTATATGTATACAAAGGGACGGTTAGAACTCCAGCTGCAGTGAACTACGTGTATACTTTTCATAATCATGACCACTTGGGAAGGCCAGTTAGGTTCACTCAAGAACAAATAACTAGCATCGAGGTCACAGCTGACACTAGAGACCAGTATGATGAAGATCTGACACAAGAAGAGATAGAAGAAGTAAAGGATTGGTTTGATGAAAACTGATCAAGACTAAGATCGTATTCTCAGGAGTTTTGGTGTGGGAGTGATCTACTCATTAGGACTTAATATATTTTGATCTTGTAGTTGTTTAAATTAAGTCATAATATATTTTGTTTATGATTTGTAAATATTGAACTCATGTAATTACGTAGTATCAAGTATGTTATAGTTATTTACTGATGTTCAAACTTCATTTTATTTAGTATGTTGTGTTGCAATGAAAATTGTTAATTATATTTTAAATTCCTTTATTCTAAGTATTTCTATACTTTTCACAGATCGAATGGTGGAAAAATGAATGTTCCAAAATTTTGCTAAATTTTTTGGTATCATGATTGATGAAAAATCAATTAATGAGTTAATTAAAATTTAAAAATTTCTCATAAATTATGTAAAACAATTTATGCTTATGACAATGGTCACACTTAAGACGAGATTTTCCTATTTTGTAGGAATGAATATGGTCACCCTAATAAGACACCAGAGCACAGGAGTCTACAAGAGAAGAATGAGCAACCTCAAAAGATATTTTAATTGCAACATGAAGAACGGTTGACTAGGTAGTGTCCAAAGTAGGTGTTGAGAATATTTGTATTTCCATATTTACCTTCTTTCCTTTTATATAGAAATCTAATTGATTATGTAAATAATGTAATTAGGATTCTGCTGTAATTACCTAGTCAATCCCTATAATCAAGGGATCTAGTTTTGTACAGATTTCTCTTATAAGAACCTCTGAATCACAAGAAAGTATATACAGTTTTTTACCCTAATTATTTTCTGTCTCAAGTTGGTATCAGAGCTCACTTTCTGTGGGCCTGATAAAATCATCTACAGTACTGCACAGTACTGCCGACCCTAGTTGTCCCGTCGTCCGGCCACCGTTTGGCCTGAGACTTCGGCACTAGCTCAAGAAGCTTCCGATCAGCTGTCCCACCGATCGCCGTCGTCTCCCGGTGTTCCACGCGCCGCCACGCTCGCTTACCAGAAAACTAGACCGTCGGCGCGTGAAGGCCACGCGCCGCCCTACGCGACTCCATTCGTCTCGCCGCTGGTCCTGTTCAACTCGTCGGCACACCCTCTGTCTGTTCTGGGTGTCCTTTTACCTGTTGGTGAGCTGTGTTTAGTCTCCTCCGACTCTCACCAAGCTTAGTCATGGATTCTGACCCAACTAAGTCCTCTACCCCTGACAGCACTGAACCCTTAAACAAAAATCCAGTATCCTTTGTCTTCTCTGGAAATCCATCCATAACTTCAGAGAAACTTAATGGGAAAAATTATATGGATTGGCAAGCTGCGGTGGAAATATGGTTTTTGGGTCAAGGTCTCTCTGACCATTTGACTAAAACGGCAAGTGACATTAATTCCACTGAACGAGATCAGTGGAAGAAGGCTGATTATCAGTTAGTTTCACTTCTATGGCAGTCCATTGATCCGAAGTTGTTAGTCCACTTTCGCACTTATAAGACATGTTACGATATATGGAAGAAAGCTCGTAGTGTCTATTCAAATGATGTTCAGCGTCTCTATGATGTTGTACATAATTTAGCTGCACTTAAAATGACAGATCACGATCTCCCATCATATTTGAACAGAGCACAGTCCACCATTGATGAAGTAAAATTGGTCTTGACAGGTGATGACCTTCAAAAAGTCTTAGACAAGATTGATAACATGTGCATGGTCTTCATCCTTCATACCAAATTTTGACAAATTCCAATGTACCTACAGCAGAGAATCTCATTGATCGTCTGCTGCGTGTTCCCTCTCCAGAAACTATGATAGGAAATGGTTCCCAACCAGGTTTGGAGTCTTCTGCATTCTTCTCTAATGTGATCAGCCGTGGAGGTTGAAGTCGTGGTCGAGGTGGTGGAAGAGGAGGTCGCAGTTTTGGAAATCGTCCACAGTGCTCCTATTGTAAACGTATGGGCCACACTCAAGATAAGTGTTATTCTTTGATTGGGTTTCCCGAGAAATCAGCCAATGTGACGTATTCTCAGCCTTCCGCTGTAAAAAAGCAAATTGACCATGAAGGAGACAACCAAAATATTTTGTCAGATATGGAGTACAAGGAGTACCTCCAGCTGAAGATAGCATCACAACAATCTTCCTCTGCCACTACTCAATCTGGTAACTCTACAATTTGCTTCTCTCATTCATCGTCTGTTGGACCCTGGATATTAGATTCTGGTGCTTCTGACCACATAGCTGGTAATCCTTCTCTTTTCTCAAAACTGTCACAACCTAAAACAGCACACCACATCACCCTTGCTGATGGCTCAAAAGCTAATGCCATTGGCATTGGACGAATTACCCCTCTTCCTAATTTATCCTTGAATTCTGTTCTTCTTGTACCTGGTTGCCCCTTTAATTTAGTCTCAGTAAGTCAACTTACTCGCACTCATAACTGTTCCATAACATTTACTGCTGAATCTTTCTCTCTACAGGACCGGAGTACGGGACAGACGATTGGAGTAGGATTTGAATCGCATGGTCTTTATTATTTCCAGCCCACTACCTCAGTTGTCTGCACTGTTGCAGATTCCCCCCTTCTCTTGCATCGTCGCCTAGGTCATCCAGGTCTAAATAAATTGAAGCACATGGTTCCTCACCTCTCTCATTTACAGTCTATGGAGTGTGAGTCATGCCAATTAGGTAAACACATTCGAGCCTCCTTTCCAAGTGCTGTCCATGGTCAAGCAAAATCTCCATTTGATCTTGTCCATTCAAATGTGTGGGGCCCGAGTCGTGTTAATTCTATCTTAGGACATAGGTACTTTGTTATTTTTATTGATGACTACTCAAGATGTACTTGGATTTTCTTAATGAAAGAACGTTCAGAATTATTTACAATTTTTCAGAATTTTTGCAATGAAATTCAAACACAGTTTGGTCGTTCTATTCGAATCTTGCGCAGTGACAATGCCAAAGAATATTTTTCTGCACCTTTTAATCATTTTATGACTTCTCATGGCATGTTGCATCAATCCACTTGTCCACACACCCCACAACAAAATGGCATTGCAGAAAGAAAACATCGTCATATTATTGAAACTGCTCGAACTCTTTTGTTACATGCTAATGTACCTTTAAAATTTTGGGGTGATGCTGTCCTTACAGCAACCTTTTTAATAAATAGGATGCCATCCTCTGCTTTAAATAACAAAGTACCTCATTCACTTTTATTCCCTAATGACTCTCTGTTTAAGGTTCCCCCACGTGTTTTTGGTTCCACTTGTTTTGTCCATGATCTCACTCCAGGACTTGACAAATTATCTGCTCGTGCTGTTAAATGTCTCTTTTTGGGTTACTCTCGGGTGCAGAAAGGATACAGGTGTTATTCCCCATCCAGTCATCGCTTCTATATGTCAGCCGATGTCACCTTCTTTGAAGACACACCATATTTCACCACATCAGTCTCTTCAAACTCAGTTTCTCAAGTTCTTCCCATTCCTTACTATATTCCCCTTGTCACTAATCCCTCAATCTCTGATGTGCTAGAACCTCCTAATCCCTCTTCACCTACTATTCCTCGTCCCCTGGCTTACCCCTATGGATCCAAATGTCAAACTTATGCCGGATCAGGGAGAGTTGTATTCAGATCCAAATCAATACCGAAGACTAGTTGGAAAATTGAATTATCTTACTATGACTAGGCCAGACATATCTTTTCCGGTCAGTGTTATAAGCCAATTTCTTAACTCCCCTCGTGATAGTCATTGGGATGCAGTGATTCGAATCCTGAGATACATCAAAGGTTCCCCTGGAAAAGGATTAGTCTATGAAAACAGAGACCATACTGATATTGTTGCATACACAGATGCGGATTGGGCTGGCTGCCCAAGTGATAGACGATCAACTTCAGGATATTGTGTATTGATTGGAGGCAACCTAATTGCTTGGAAGAGTAAAAAGCAGAATGTTGTTGCTAGATCAAGTGCTGAAGCTGAATATCGAGCAATGGCCAATACCTCATGTGAACTTGTATGGCTAAAACAGCTTATTGCTGAGTTAAAGTTTTGTGAGGTAGGACCTATGAGACTTATTTGTGATAACCAGGCAGCCTTACATATTGCCTCTAACCCTGTCTTTCATGAACGGACCAAGCATATAGAGATTGACTGCCATTTCATTCGTCAAAAGGTTCTTTCTGGTGAGATTGTTACGTCGTTTGTGAACTCTAATGATCAATTAGCTGACATGCTTACCAAGGCACTTCGAGGTCCAAGGATAACATACATTTGTAACAAGCTTGATGCATATGATATATATGCACCAGCTTGAGGGGGAGTGTTGAGAATATTTGTATTTCCATATTTACCTTCTTTCCTTTTATATAGAAATCTAATTGATTATGTAAATAATGTAATTAGGATTCTGCTGTAATTACCTAGTCAATCCCTATAATCAAGGGATCTAGTTTTGTACAGATTTCTCTTATAAGAACCTCTGAATCACAAGAAAGTATATACAGTTTTTTACCCTAATTATTTTTCTGTCTCAAGTGTAGGAATAGTGGAATCCCCAAGATCTGGTCGTGAACATTAGAATAGGTCTCAAGCAAACTATATAAAGCCAGTAACATAAAGATTTACTGGCATTGCTTGTGCTCCTTGCCAGTTTTGTCAATGGGAGGTAAGAGGTTGTTGAAATCATGAAGAAGACCAAAGATCCAACCCAGGGAGGTAGCCAAAAAGTCATCAAGAGAGCAAGCACCGATAACAGTCATAAGGTCATAACAAATCCCATAAAACTATAACACTTAAACAGTTTGACCATCCAATTGCTCAATAGAGAGAGGAGCAATGATGTGATTGGTAAAGATGGCAGGTTTAGCCTTGTGGTGGTGGGGGTGGGGGGCAGTTCAGGAGCAGCCATGGGCGCCACAAAAAAGAGAAAAAGGTCGTGAACAATGCCAACTGGAGGAAGATCATGCTGGAAACAAACTAGGAGTGAAATGGTTTTTGAAAAAAAAAAATTTACACCAATGGGCAATAGGCCTCCCAAGAAGCACGAATTAGGGTTGCCCTCATCAAACTCTAGATACCATGTTGAAAAAGAGAAAGAAAACATAAGATGAATCTGCGTATTTATAATACGCAGCAGTACTCTCTGTTTATAATGATAACTCAATAAATACATCTAGAGTCACACTAATTACATTGTAACCTTATTTGCAATATTGCCCTATTTATTTACATTAATCTCAACAAATATAAATTAGTGTTTAATTAATATATATCTATCATCACATCTCATAATCAATATAACCTCATATTGTTGACACACTTCTATTTTCCTTCTTTTCCACCAAAACTCATTATAATTTCACAACTATACTTGGGAAAATAAAATAAAATTAAACAACGTTGATTGTTTGTAAATTGAGAATAAAGCATAGACATCATAACTGACAAACCTTGATATTAGCACAGAGCTCTTCCATGTATGTGTCTGACATCTGTGTAATGAATGTCAAGTCAATGAAAGTGTCCAATAGTTAACTTGAAGCCAGTACATGGCCCATTTCATGTAATAGACATAAGAAATTCTAATGTAGCTGATAATTTATAGGAATAAAACAAAAGGCTAAGTAGGTTAAATACATCAAATACTTACCTTTGCCTCAACAGTTGATGGAATTTCAGAAGTTAATTTCTCTTTATACTTTCTGAAAGTGTCTGATACAGCAATAAAACACATACATATTATTCTACCAAACCCATAGTAAAAGTAAATAACTAAATATGATAATAAAATATAGATATTCTCTAAATTAAACTGTTGAGAATAATTGTAAATAAATAGGAAATACTTATTTATTAGTTAGATAGCGTATTCATGATAAATATGTAACAAAACATTTTATAATTATTACCTAGTCATTATAAAGTAAAGTCCTTTGCTATGTATCAAACAAATGAATTCACTCTGTCTCTCAATTTCTTCTTTCTCAACATGGTAACAAGAGACAAACCCTAGTTCATGTCTTATCTGGTGGACCCACTATCCATTGGTACTGTTTCTGCATGCTTTTCCTTTCCTCCTTGCTACCCATGTTGTCTTTTGATCCTCCAAGGCTGAGTCTGCTATTTTCACCAATCATGACACTATTCCCATCTCCACAAAATGTTGGATGGTAAGAATTATACCTCTTGGACTTCTAACATTCGTCTATGGCTAGTAGGACAAGATTATAAAGAACATCTTACTATAAAGGCAGACGATATATCAGAGATCAAATGCTCTCAATGGATAAAGATTGATGCTCAGCTGTGCTGCATCATCAAATCCACATTTCTTCCATCGTTGAGTCCCATTTTTTGTGCTCATGACATGAGACTTGTAATGGTGTTTAGACACAAACAAAGACCTTATACACCAATAGTATTCAACCTCTCTATGGGGTTTGTCATGACCTCATGACTATTATTGGTGTTTGTCGTGTTGATGATTTTATGGCTAATTATTTGGGTAAGGTGCCTGGTCTCCTTTGTGACTTTAATGAGCTACTTCCTACGGCTTCTATGCCGGCTTTCAAACTTGAACAGTGTCAACAATTTTTCATGATATTTGCTTTATATGATTTGCCTAAAGAACACCACTAGAATTTTAGATTAAAAACACTAATTGAATAGATAATTACAGTAGAAGCTGTCCCAGAATTTTGACAACTCCTCCAGAGAATAACTCTGTCCAAAGAACTTCCAAATACTCATGTAAACTGTCTGTTTTCATACAATGCATATCATATATGAAAATTACATAACTTCTCCTACAAAACCTAATAACTGTCTACAATCAAACCATACATAAAATAACTTCTTCTAAAGTTACATAACTGAACCTAATAACTGCCAATCATCACACCATACATTAAATAGCTGATCCTAAAATACATAACTTCCTCTACAGATCTGCCACAAGGCAAATTTCGATGTCCTACACCTCTTTTTAAAATAAACCTTCCAAATGGGAGGTTTCTTTAGGCTTGGATCTGCCAATGGATAGAGTGGATCAAGTTTCTGAGCTCCATCAGATCTCCATGGCAAATCCTTGATTCCTTGTTAGGTTGCATTGTAGGCTTTTTGGGTCACATGTCAGACCAAGCCGAAAATTATACAAGCAACTTTATAACAATTCTTCTTCAATAGTATTCTCCCCCCTTCATCAGCATGGTTCTTCAACTCAGCAGCTCCACAATTTTTCCTTGGAAGGGCACTAATGGGTACCACTACCAGTTCTAACCCCATCCAAGCAATGCCAAAACTTGCTAGCTAGAAGAGCTTTGGATTATATTTGCTGGGTTCTCATGAGTAGAAATTTTCTGCACAACCGTCATACCCTGTGATATAATATCTCCAATGAAGTGATATTTAACAACAATATTCTAGGTGTACTCATGTACATTGTGATGTGTCCAGTTCTTTTAAAATCTAAAGCCACCTCAATATCACAAACAAACTGTTGTCTTCTTTATCAATCCAAAATCACTCATTAGACAATAGACCATACAAGTAGCCTCACCTTTACCCTCCGCTAGAGCCACACAAGTAACAACATGATTCAAATCACACTTCAAGAGAATTGAAAAGCTCAATTTTTCAACAGCATTCAATTAACCAGAAAGTAGGTTCTGTCTTGCTAAGTACATAAACAATGATATTACTATATTTAATTTATCTATAAGGCTTTTGTTAACTAACATATACCTTAAAAGTTTCAATTTTGATTCCTTAACCTATGCCCTAAGGGCATGCATTAAAAAAAGTTGATATGTAAAGATAAATATTGGTATATTTAATTACTCAATGTCAAAATTACATTAAACACAGATGTTTGTGACTTTGTATATATCTGCACCTTTCACCTTTTACAAGAAGTTAAAAAATTGAGGGGAAGGAAGGGACATGCCTTTTCTCTTATTATAGGCTTCTTCAGAAATTTTGTATTTTTCGACCAATGAAGTATCTTCCAGCCAACCACCCGATGTGACAGATGACGGATCAAGATCTATAACATGCAAACGGAACCTGCCACAGGAGAATAAAAAAGGTAACCAACCAGATTGCTGACTGCTTCAAATAACAGTGAATGCAAATCTAGAGAGATGCAGAAAGCAACAAGTTGCTGCTTCTATAAATTCCATACCGCAACATACAAGTCATGGAAAACCACACAATAACACAACTCTCAAAGTACCATTTTATGCATTACACCAACAATTACAATAGCAGAGTCACTCATTTAAAAAGGAAGACTCCTGATATGTAAACAAAGCAGCAACCATTAAAACCCCAAGCCACTAACCAAGCTCAGCAAACATTTACTCAGAAAATGAAAAGACAAATTATATAAGGTTAGATTAGCAAAGAATTGGCACAGGCTTGATCATCGACCCACGCCAACATTCAATTTATACAATTTCACCCAACGGGACACACACACACACGCACCAAAAACGAAGTGTTAATAAAAATTAAAAACACACTTAAGGAAAAGCAATTAAATTTTTCAGTTTTGAACTTCAAAAACACACATACATATTCAGTGACATACACTTAGAATATATAGAAAACGCAAGAATTATTAAAAAAAAGTGATGAAAGTGAGTAGTAACCCAGGGAGCGGCGAATAGAATCCGAGGGGTTTAGAATTATCGGTGAGATCAGCAATTTTTTTGCGAGCGTCGTCGTAGAGCTCAAGCTGCATGGAGTTCACCGAAGTGCCGCATTTCTTCCAGATCTTCTCTTTCACAGCTTCCACCGTCAACTATGAGAAAATGAAGAACTAAAACTTTGGAAGATTCGTTTGGTGTAATAAAGAAAGAGAGAGAGAGAGAGAGAGAGACCTGAAGCGAGAAGCGAATGTCAGAGTTGAAACTTTTGAGATTGGAATGAGTAACACGCAAGAGAACGGAATCATCGCTTTCGATCTTCTGCAAGCTTGATGCCATATCTGCCACTACCACTCACCAACTGAGCAAAGATGGGAAGAGCCTACACAACTCACTCAAAATGCCTTTTAAATCCCACTGTTCATTCACCCAATAAAAGCTCTATTTTTTATTCTAACTAGTAAACATACCCAAAGGATCCACGGTTTGTTTTTTTTTTTTTTTTAATTATTTTGTTTTAAAATAATTTTAAAAAATTATTTAAAAATATTACATAATTTATATTATAAAAAATAATAAATATTTTTTATTTTTTTAAAAATAAACTAATTTAAATTAAATTAAATAGTATATACTTTATTAAATTAAATATACATATTATATTATTTGATGAATAAAAAAATTATTAGTCAAGAGAAATTTTAAAAAAAATTAAATATGTTAAGTGATTTATTAAATTACATATTGTACAAGTTTATTTATATTTTTATTAGTTTAAAAATAAATTAATTTACAAAACAATTATGCATACAAATCCAGCATATGTAATACTTTATTTTCATTTTTAAGGTTTCTTAATTATTAAATGGTTTGAAAAAATTAAATATAATCAAATTTTTAGTTATTTTTTTATAAATTTAATAATTATATATTAATTATAATATAACTTATGCATATAATATTTAATATAAATATAAATATGTAAGATACTAAGTGACGATTTTTAGTAAATTATACGTAGATATATATATTAAAAATAAATTAAATATGTTAAATAATTTATTTTATATATATATATATATATTGTACAAATTTGTTTAAATTTTATTCAAGTATTTTGTTTAAAAATAATTTAAAATTATATCTTAAATATAAAGAAACATATTTTAAATAAAAATCATAATACATTTTTTATTTATTTTTATTAGTTTAGAAATATATTAGATTACAAAACTATCATGCATATAAATATAATGTACATGTAATTTTATTTTATTTTGTTTTAAAGGTTTCTTAACTGTCAGATAGTTTGAAAAATAAAATCTAATTAATTTTTTATAAATATTATTAATTATAGATTAATTACAATTTAGCTTTATACATAATAATATTATTTGAATATAAATATGAATATATAAAACACATGATGATTTTTAGTGAATTATATATGGATATATAGATAAATATATTGTTTGCTCAAAATAATTTTATAAAAAAAAATAAAAAAATAATTCTAAATGTAAATTTAAAATATAATAATTCATAAATATTTCCATAAATCAGCAAATAAAAATATGATACATATATTTTGAATATACATATTACTTTTATTTTGTCAATTTATATATAAAAATTATATTAATTTTGTCAAAATTTTTAAAAATTACATATAAAAATTAAAATTAAAACATTATTTTTAGTATTTTTTATTAATTTATATGTAATATATAACTAAGTATTTTATAAACTTTATTTTTTTATGTGTATTTTTTTATATTAGTTCTCGTTAATTTTATAAATTGTAATAATTCTAAAAAAATATATCTAATCAATTGTCAATATTCTTTTTTCAATTTATATTTTAAAAATATCATTAGATATAAAATAAATATTTTTTATCATATTTTAAAATTATTTTTTATAAATTAAGTTCAACTAATTATCGTTATTTTTATATTTTTCAGATAATTTTTTAAGAAAAATAGTAATTACAAATTAAATAGATAAACAAAGAGTTTTCATTTGGTAAAACATAATCACCAGACTCTTCTATATTTTAACAAGTTTTGGTGAAGTGAGGGAAGGGCAAAGAAATATAACTTTTAGTAAAAAAGGAGATGATTTTGTAATAAGTTTTTGAATATGCTATGAAAGAATATGATGGCCGAAAAAACTTGCCTTTTAGTAAAAAATTGGACGTTTTGAGAGAATTTCACAGATTTTATAATGAAAGATTATTGATGAAAAATGCAAACTTTAAAATAGTCAAAGTTGGTCGAAATAGAATATTCTGACGTATTTTTTAAAATTTGTCAAAAGTTTAAGTGTAAAAACTTCTAAGTCTTGATGATGAAAAAGGTATATAAAAAAATGATGGATTTATGTAAAAAAAAAATTCAAATATATTAGGAGTGGTTGCTAGTGATTACTAGCAAGTGTAAGAATAAAACACATGATAAATATCGTGTACAACATATAAGAATGGTTATAAGAGTATGTTTTCAGCCGTTATTAGAATTACATCTATAAATAGTTTTTCATTTTACTTGTTTGGAGTTATGACTTTAACACAAACATTCACACTCACTCATATAACATCCTTCTTTATAATTTGAAAATTTTCCTTTACTAAATATATAAATATAGATAAAATTTGATTGAAATACTAAAGGACAAGAATAGTTTTGGAGAAATTTACATATATACGAATTTGGAACCAATAAAAGTTAACAAAGTTTAAAACTTTTTATATACATAAGTCTCATTCATAATAGTATAAAATAACTTGCATCTAAGTTTATAATTAGAATAAAACTAACATTATAAATTTTAGCATCTTTCCTAATTCATGTTACATATAGATAAGTTTAAAATACAATTAATACTGCTTTTTGAAAAATTACATCTTTTAACAAAAGACAAATGTAAGTTGTAATTAAAATAGCTGACTACAAAATATTACAATTGCATTTCAAAATTATTATTTACAACAAGGTTTATCAAAATACTATAATCTCTAAATGAAAACTTAATCATTATTACTACATTCATCAAAATAAACTAGATTATATTAAATCACTTTATTTCCTTACAATCGACTACGAGTATGATCATAAAACAGATCCATCTTTTCTTATTTTTTCATTACCTGAAAAATGTTTGTAAGGGTGAGCATGCTCTACTCCATAAATTTTCATTTTTATAATACAATCAAAGTAGTGTGGGGAATATTTTCTAATATATTATGCATCAAAATATAAATAATTCATTTTTGTACAATATTAACTACAAAAACCATCCATACACATCATTTCACACTTAATCAAATACAATCATTTAATACAATATGCACTAAGATAATACCAACTCATATATTATATTAACAAGTGTTACAACAGATCAAATAGATTATCAATGATATTATCAGTACCTTTTAACATACACTATGTTCATATCATTTCATGCATTCTCACAATATCATAATACACGTGTTATAACCATATTAAATAATGCATTACAATACATGTATCATGATTACATCCGTTGATGAATTACAATACCTGTATTATAATCACACGAATCAATCTATTATAACTCACCTATTACAATCACACATCTTCCAATTTTACAATTATTGCCCAACGATCCCTTAAGGTCTTCCATAAGTATAGATAGTTGCTGGTTAGCAGCATCAACACGGATATAACGTATGCTGAAGGCCTCTTTTAGCAAAGGCATAGTCAGGAATCTCGTCAGAAAATGAGTGTGTGGCCTGTGAATGTTTTCAGTTTCAAAAATTCATGTGCACCCACTTACAAATAGCATTTGTCACCCTCATTTTTCTAAATTTTTTCTGAACTCTATACTCCTAGTGTATTTCTATAACCATCAATATATAGTCTTAACATTTTTTATGACACTTACTATAAGTATATATGTATATCATTAATGTTATAAAAATTGTAAAAATTTAATAATTTTAATTTTTGATTATTTATATTTTATTAAAGAAATCTCTTAAAATATATAAATATATTAATGACATAAAAATTTATTATTATTTTCAATATTTTAATTTTTTTTATAATTTTAAAAATATGAATATTTCTAATATACCAACTCAATAACATAATTCTATTTAATTAAAATTTATATTATTACATGTTGGATTAGTTAACAAAATGTTGACTAATATAATTCACTTAAATTAAAAAAAATTAATATACAATGTCACTTAAAAGTAATATATATTTATATTTACGTGACATATACAAAATTAAATATTTTAATATAATTTAAGAAAAAAATAAACATAAAAAGTATATGTATTTACTTGTTCAAATGACTCTAAAGAGTTTAAATGATTGTGAATTGCAATAATAAAATAAGATAATACATTTTTTTGACAAATTATAAAAAATTATATAAAAATTACTTATATAAACAAAGACCTCTTATTTATGATATAATAGAAAAATAATAATAAACATAATAAAAGAGGCAAATTTATTTTAATATTGTAATTTAAAAAACAATTTATTGGTTTATAGATCATTTGAAACTATTTCCCACTCTGGAGTTTTTCGGGCTACGTGGTAATCAGTTTCTCCATTTTGTTTGGCAAATACATTTTTTATATTATTATTGTTAATGAATTTCACCAAGAGAGTTGCGAAATTAACAGGGATTTGACACGCGTCGCGACGCGTGTCAAATCCCTGTTAATTTCTCACATTTGATGGCAAAAATGTCTTCGTTAATTTATTTTTTTAATAAATTTCGCTACAGAATTGACGAAACAAACGAGAGCCCGATATGTGTCAACATTTTGCTTAATTTCGCGAGTTTGGTGACGAAATTTGCCCCAAAATTTTTGCAAATTATATGGCAAAATTTAAACCTATATATACCCCCTTCTCTCATTTTTCCACCGTAGACAAGAGCAAATTAGAAGAAAATTAGGTATGTTTAATTAATAATTTTATTTTTTAATTTTTAATATATTAATTTAGTTATTTTTAATTAAAAAATTGTTAAATTAATTAATGAGTATTGTTTATTTTATTTATGTTAATTATTGTAAAATTTAAATATTAAATAAAGTTTATTTGTTAAAATGCAGGATGAGTGAGATTGTTATTATTATATATTGGAATGGTAGAATCTATGAAGGAAATGAAGGAGTGAGTTTGAAGGAAATAAGAAAGTGATTCAGATAAAACGAGGAATAAGTTATGAAACATTGAAAAGAAAAATTCATTTGAAACTTAATCTTAACCATAATCAAGTTATTTCTAAATTAATTTCTTGTTTTTGATTGATGAAAATATTAGACAATATACAGCTTTGGATATATGTGATGATGAAGATATTGA